GAGTGCTGCGCGGGAAGGGCCGTGACCAGGTCAACGCCCGTGAGGTAGAGGAAGACCAAGTAGGCTAAGTGCACCAGGTGCCACCGACTGGTAAGGAGAGGCCCAGGAGATGAGGATGACCACGAAGGCGATGTGCAATGTTGTGCCGCCGGGTGGTCAGTAGCGGCCTGGGGTGGTAGTCCAATCGAAGCATGAAACAGAACAAAGGACGCCCTGGAACAGCGGGGGGAAGATCTGGGGGAAGATCTGTCGGGAGATCTGGGGAGTGTCCAATGGAAGACTTGGCGCGGTTGCAAGGCGATAAATCTGGAGGAATATTTGGCGGAAGATCTGGGGGAGATCTGAGGGAACATCTCGGATATAATATTTAGCGGGAAGTCTGGAGGAAGATCTGGAGGGACATCTGAGGGAAGATCTGGTGAAAGATCTGGGCGAAAATCTGGTGAATGTGCTGAGGGAGATTTGGCGGAGTAGTGCGTCGTAAATCTGCAGCAATATTTGCGGGGAGATCTCGGGAAGATCTGGGGAAAGATCTGGGGGAGGGGGAAGATCTGGGTGAAGATCTGGAGGACGATCTGGAGGAAGATATGGGGGAAGATCTGCGTGAATATCTGGGTGAATATATTGGGTAAACATGGAAAAAACTCAGCGGGACCACATCGGGAAAGATCTGGGTGACGATTTGGAGGACGATCTGGGGGGAAGATCTGGCGTAATATCTGGTGGCAGATCTGGGCGAAGATCTGGAGGAACATCTGGGGAACATCTGGGGGAAGATCTGGGGGCAGATCTGGGGGAAGACCTGGAGGAAGATCTGAAGGAAAATCTCGGGGAAGATTTGGGAGGAGATCTCAGGAAAGATCTGGGGGAAGCTCTGGGAGGATCTGGAGGAAGATCTGGGGGAAGATCTGGGGGGGGGGGGATCTGGGGGAAGATCTGGAGGAAGATCTGGGGTAAGATCCGGGGAAAGATTTAGGGAAAGACTGGGGGAAAATCTGGGGGAAGATCTGGGAGGAAATCTGGAGAAATATCTGGTGGAAGATCTGGGGGAAGATCCGGGGGAAGATCTGGGAAAAGATCTGGAAAAAGATGTGGGGGAAAATGCTGGGGAATAATCCGGGGGAGTATCTGGAAGAAGATCAGCCGGAAGATCTGGGGGGAGGTCAGTCGTCGGTCGTCGTCGCCGTCGCCGTCGCCGTCGCCGTCGTCATCGCCGTCGTCGTCGCCGTCGCCGTCGCCGTCGCCATCGCCGTCCACCGCCACCGCCGCCGCCGCCGCCGCCGCCGTCGTCGTCGTCGTCGTCGTCGCCGTCGTCGTCGTCGTCGTCGTCGCCGTCGTCGCCGTCGTCGCCGTCGTCGTCATCGTCTTCGTCGTCTGGGGGCTGTCTGGGGCCCCCTCCTGGATCGCAGTTTTACATCCCGGCTCCGTTTGAGAGGCCGAAAACGATGGAAAAAACACTCGAACCTCAAAGCTCGAACCTCCTCCTTGGCCAAAATCCGCTCAAGATGGGTCCGCGGACCCCTCCCGGGGTTGCAGTGCGCCAGCTTTTCGCACCCCCGAAGGCCAGAAGGCCTCGAACCTCGATCCCCCGGATCTTCCCCCCAGATCTGGGGGGAAGATCTGGGGGAAGATCTAGGAGACGATCTGGAAGAAGATCTGGGGAAACATCTGGGGGGAAATCTGGGGGAAGATCTGGGGGAAGATCTGGTGGGAGATCTGCGCGGCGATCTGGAAGAAGATCTGGGGGAAGATCTGGGGGGAAGATCTGGGGGAAGATCGGGGGGATTGTCTGGGCGAAGATCTCTAAGCGAAGATCTGGGGGAAGATCTGGAGAAAGATCTGGAGGGAGATCTGGGGGAAAGATCTGGGGGAAGATCTGGAGAAAGATCAGGAGGGAGATCTGGGGGAAAGATCTGGGGGAAGATCTGCGGAACGATCTAGAGGAAGATCTGGGGAAAGATCTGGGAGGAAATCTGGGGGAAGATCTGGGGGAAGATCTGGGGGGGAGATCTGGGCGAGGATCTGAGAGAAAGATCTTGGTGAAGATGTAGGAGGGGATTTGGGCGAAGGTCTGGGTGAAGATCCGGGGGGGATTTGGGGGGAACAGGGGGAGAAGATCTGAATAACGATCTGGAGGAAGACTTCAAGATCTGCGTGACGATCTGGGAGGAGATCTGGGTGAAGATCTGCGGGGAGATCAAAGGAAACACCTGGTGGAACATCGGGGTGGAGATCTGGAAGACAATCCGGAAGAAACTTTTGGGGAAGATAGCCGTGACAATTTTTTAAACTAGGTTTTCGACCATCACTCGCGCGATGACGGCAGGGCATGAAACAAAACACATAATTTAAACATATGATTTTAGAGTAGGCCCGAAAGACTGAGCCCGGGCATGCCGTCCTAGCTTTTTGAACTCCCTATAATTCTATGGGTGAGGAAGGAGACGCGGACGATCCCAGACATCCTCCTCCCACCTCTTGCTTTTTCTCCCCGTCCGTGGGGCTGATGATGGGGATGGCGCCCATCTCAAGTGGACCATGGCTCCGAGATGGTCACGGGGAACAAGAAAAAACACGACGGATAATCATACAGTCAAGACCGGTGTCACGGACTCTAGATAAGGATGCATGGACATCAAGCTGGGCTGAGGTTGTGAAGCAAGATGAGTGCTGATGACGGGCCGAATCGGCAATGCGGCAAAGGCACCCTTGTAAAAAGACTCCGCCCCTAACTTTAGACTGCGCCGCCAGAGTATGACCATATCCACTGCTGCTGGGTCGTGTTCCGAGGACTCGGGGAGCGGCGGATATGGATATCTGCGCGTCAACGCGGGTGGGCAGATATCCATATCCACCGTTCCTCGAACTCCCAGGGCATGACTCCGAAGCGGTGGATGTGGACATACTCTGGCGGTGGATAGATGACATCAGAAGCTGGAGCTCCCTCCTCATCTTGTGAAGGCGGAGTCACGGTCCACCGCTCTCTGCGCTTTGGAGCCGTCTGCTTCAAACCTCTCTCTGGGGAGCCTTTTCAGTTCTGCTCCGAGGCCTCCAGGAACCCGAGGAGGCCCTCCTGAAAGGCTCCCAAAGGTTGATACAGAATGCCTGGAACCAACTGGATCCTTACCACAAATATTTGAAACCCGCGGGGGGTCCCTGGACCCTCCAGGGGACCTCCCCACTCCAGCTTGGAGGCACCTGGAAGCCTCGATGCGTCCTGGAAGCTCCCTGGAAGCTCCCAGAAACCCTTGGGTACCCCCGCCCACTGGAAGTCCCTGCGTGCCCCAGGAAACGTCTGGGAAACCATCTGCCCTCCACCCTCCCACCCCGCACCTCCTGCATCTCGTCCGCCTGGTGCATCTTTCGCGCGCGAGGCACCTGGCATCCGTGCTGGATCCACGCGGTTGTCTAGTGGATGGCGGCTGCTGCCCATGCCGCGCCCCGAGTGCTGCTTATGTGGCGAGACGGCGGCAGGGAGTGGGCGAGACAACCCGTGGCGCTCGTGTTGGGAACTTGCTGGCATCCAGGCGACGGGTCCCGAGGAAAACGGGTCCTGGACCCCCGGGGGCCTTCCCGCAGGAACGATTTTCCGCCCCGAGCCGCCCTCGCACGTGGAAGGCCCAGGGAAGCCCAACACGCCGAACATCCTCGGGACACGTTGCCCTCGGGACCCGCTCGCTTCATGGAGAACTCGACCCTCCTCCCGCCCCTGAGGGGCAACGATGGGGGGGGGGCCCGCGCAGGGCGGGATACGTCGAGCTGGAGTCGGCGACACGTCGCGGATAGATCGGCGGCGGGCCCCCGATGGCGAACCCGTGCGTTCCTGGGCGGGGCCGCGGTCGGCGATGAATGGGCGATTGGGGATCGATGCGCCCCCGCCCTGAGCCTATCCCCCCCCATCTCGGGGGAGGCCAGGAGGGGGGCGTCCAAGAGGGGGGGCGCAAATCATGGCTGGCGGCATGTGCGCGGCCCGAAGGAGGGCCAGGGATCGTTTTGCAATAAGAAGAGCCGGCAGGAAATCTGGGGAGATATCATGGCCCCCGCCACGATGTCCACCCCCGCCTGGTCATCACCCCCCTCCTGGCCGCCCCCGACTATCGTTGCCCCTTCCATCCTCTTTGCCGCCGACGATCTCCCCGTCGCCGACGGGGCCTGCGCATCCTTTTCTCCCTCCCATGGGGGCCAGGATCCGGCCGAGTCCGGACAGAGGCTGCTGTCCTGGAGCAGGCTCGATGCGGGGATCGACGGAGGGCGGAGGCCCAGCGGCGCCACGAGCGGAGGAGGAACAGGATGGGGAGACGGGGCAGTGATACGCGTGCGAGTCGGGGATTTATCCATATCCACCGCCTGGGAACCGACGTCCTGGCGCCCCAGCGGGCGGTGGATGTGGACATGTTTCGGCCCCCGGGGGCCCGAATATGTCCATATCCACCACCTGCCGAGGCTCCGAAAACTGACCCTCTTGGCGGTGGTCATTAATAATTTCCCGCCTCGGAGTGATAACACATTCCAAAACGGTAGCACTGCCAAGGATATGTTAAAGTAGGGCCAGGAACTTCTAGATAGTGTTAGGTCGGGCGTGTCCTCCTACAGGCGGATACGTGGGCGAAACGCAGACAATAGTCGAAACATATTCAGAAATCGTCGAACATAGTAGAAAAATCGTTCCCAGACTCTTTTTCGTCTATTCTGAAGATTCCTCCTGTAGAGGGAGGGACATGCCCGACTCATGGATAGCGTTTCGCGGTGGCGGCCGCGCCACGCGGTGCCTTGCGATTGGGTCGCGTATCGCTCCGCTCAGTGGCGGCGGGAGGCTCGGGAGGGCTCGGGAATCGTTGGCGCTGGCGGACTGGGACCTGGTCAGCGTGTCGCGCCGCAGCGTGGCGGGCAAGAACCGGCGGAGCGACACTCTGTCCAAATGTGCTTGGCCGTAGGTAGTGAAGAAGATGCCCGTACGCCGTACTGGCGCGACGGCACGCACGAGGCGGCGGGCTGCACAGCTACTGGCTGGCCCCGAATTCGCGGTGGTGCAGGCGGCGCAGGGCTCGGTAGGTCTCCCGCACGAGCGACCCGCTCCGAGTCCTCCACGGCGCGTGCGCGAAGCGGAAGTCGTCCCCCGACTTGAACGCGGCGGTGTGCTCTCTCACAAAGTCGGCGTCGAGGTCGCTGGACTCGCTGGCCCCGCCGCACTCGCCCAGTGGACGGCGTGCCACGCCCGCCCGCAGGGTGGTCCTCGCGTTCGCGACGCTCGAGGTCGGCGCGAGCTGCTCGCGAGAGGCGAGGAGCTCGTAGCGGTCTGACGCCATGCTGAGGCGCAAGTGCGGGAAGCGGCCGAAGGTACATATGCGATGTTGCAGGAAGCCGAGGTCCATTCCGACGACGTTGATATTCGAGATCTTCATGTAACCCGCTGAAGCGAACCAACCTGAGAGCCACTCAAGCCACAGGAATAGTTAGTGAGATTCTGGCCCCGCCTCTTCCCCTCTTCTTTCCTCCTTTTGGGTGCCCCGCGGTGATTTCCGCGCCTCCCTCTCCCGACGGTGGGGGGCCACGGGGATTCTACCTGCCGCCAGGGCGGCCAGGGGCAAGTCACCTCCTGGCCGACTGGCGCTGCCCTTCGTTCGTGGCCGAGTGCCAGCGCATTGGGGGGCGGGGGCACCCGACGCGACGTCCAATCTCACCCTCGTCTCTACCCTCCTCTTTGGCTCCCCTCCCCCGCCCCCACACACACAAACCCACACTTATCTCGCTCGGAGGCGACGGTGGGGACCGCATCGACCAAGGGAGGGGCGATGCATGTACGGTCGGACCTGGGCCAAAAACATCTCACGAGAACACGAGACCCTCCGCCGGCCAAAACACACAGAACATCCGAGGGTACCCTCCCAGAGGTGCACAATAGCATCCAGCAAGCACGAAGAACGCTCAGGTTGACTACCTACCAGACCACCCCAACGTAACCCGTAGGTTCCACTTTCGGGTTGGGGGGCGTACAGGTTCCACATGTGTGTGTGTGTGTTTTTTCCCTTGCTCCCCGACGCCCCCCCCCCCCCCCACTGGAAATGGAGGGCAGATTTGAGCCTTCGGGTTGGGTTGGGGGGTGCTTTGGCGGGTGGTGGCGGGTACCCTCCCCGCACCGACCTCGACCTTCTGCCTCTGTCTGCCTGCCTCCCGGGGCACCAATGGGCCACGTCTTGGGCGAGGGTCCCCGGCGAGGGCGTGAAATGCCCGCCCCTGGACTCTTCTGGTGGGCTTGTTTTCCACAACCACCACCATAAGATGGAGGACGAGGGGGTCGTCGTCGTCCTCCTCCTCCTCCTCCTCCTCCTCCTCCTCCACCTCCACCTCCTCCTTCCTCCTCCTCGTCCTCATCCTCCTCCTCCTCGTCCTCCTCCTCCTCCTCTTCGTCCTCCTCCTCCTCGTCCTTCACCTCCTTCCCCCCTCCAACGTATGGTGGTGGTGGTGGAAGACAGGCACCCCACCGTCGCCTCCGATCCTCCCGCCGCCACGGGGGAAGGACGGACTCGCACTGCCCCAGTGGTCCGGGCCGCCCGGGCGACCGCGGCGCAGGCGACGGCACAGCTCGTCCAGGGGGTCGAACACGAGCCCTCTCGGCCCAGCCGCGGGGGCCCCCGCGGGCCCCGCGGAGGCCGTGCCCACTGCGCCAGGGGTGCCGTCGACGGCGTCGCCCGGCTCCTCGTGGGGCACCCGCGGATCGTGGAGCTGGCGCGAGGGCGCCGGGTCCGCGGACCGCGGGACAGGGGACCACATGCGAAGCCTACCCCCCTGCCCCCCACGACTTCTGAGGGGAGGGAGGGGTTCACTTCGCTCGGGAGCTCCCGAACAGAGTGAACCCCACCCTAACCCTCAGAAATCGTGGGGGCAGGGGTAGGGTCCGCATGTGGCCCCCCAGGGGAGGCACGTCCCCCCCCCCGAAGCAGGAAGCCGGTGCCGCCCGAGCTGGCGGCAGGGCGCGCCGGTGCTGTGCGGGAGCGGGCCTTCTCGCTCGTCCACGCGGCCTCATCCACGCTTGCGCTTCCTCGACCTCGTCTCGCCTCCTCCTCCTCCTCCTCCTCATTCTCCCCCTCCCCCTCCAAGTGGTGGATAATGGTGTTACTTTGATTGGCGATTGCCAGCGCAAGGGTATTTCTGCGGTAGCCGAAAATTCCACCGCATGGGGCAGTTGCCAGAGCAAAGGTGCCCATCATTTGAATCACCCAAGCAAGAGCGATTCGTCTGCGCGTGTTTCGCCACTTCAATCTCCGAAACGCTTCGTGACCCGCTCACGTCGCTACCAAAAAAGGTGCTCCGCCAATCGCCGAATTTCGAAGCAACCCCTGGCGAATCCAGACCCGATCCCAAATCCTACCTCTGTCCCTCCTCTCCTCCTCTTTCTCCTCCGCCTCCGTCCTCGTCCGGCCTCCTGATGTCCGGGTCCATCAGGTCCAGCTCCAGTCTGACCACCTCGCCGAACGGCCACGGTTGGGAGAGCTAGGCTCATTACCCCCTTGGGGCAACCCATCCGTGACGACGCCCTCTCGAAAGCGGCGTCAGAAGCGATGCGTTCCACCAGGGGGGGTAGAAGGACCACCGCCCCCCGAGTTGTGGCTAGAGGCCTCCCAGATGGGGTCCGAGTAGATGGGGTTGGAGGATCGCGCCGCCAATGCATCGCCGATGCATCGCTAATGCATCGCCGATGCATCGGCGATGCGCTGGCGGCGTCGGCGGTGCGTCGGCGCCAACGGCGTGGAGAAAATCGGGCTCCACATCGAGCCGAATCGCTGATGCGTTGACGATGCGGTGCGATCCTCGGACCCATCTACTCCGACCCCATCTGGGAAGCTTACCCCGAGTTTCTTCATAAGCGTCGGGGGGGCGTCACCCCCGCCGACCGCCCCACAACGATCCCCGTCGCGGGCAGCCACTGCGCGCCGAAGGCGCTCCGACCCCCGTCGCGGCGCGACGACGAGGCGAGGTTGACCTCCGTCGGGGGGGTACCCCCCCCACGCTTATTAAGAAGCCCAAAGAATTGTGGCTGGTCTGCCTCGCCCATGCCCCGGGGAAGAGGGTGCTCGTCGGCCCGCAGCAGGCAGAAGCGGTCCCGCCCCCGCAGGTGCCGCAGCAGGCGGCCGCAGTCCTGCCGCCCCAGGACGAGGGGCTCCCACGCGGCGGCGTGCCTCAGCACAGCGCTTGCCCTGCTTGGGGCCCGAAGAGGCTCGGAGGCAACCTCTGGGATGTCTTCGTGAGAGCGATGCAGGATGGTCAAGCGGGCTTGGTTGCCATTGAGACGCGTGAGCTCAGCTTGAATCCAGGGTGGCGCCCGATGATTCCAGACTCAGCGGAACTGCGCACCAGGTTAGGCCCGTTCCCGACCACAGATATGCCAGCGCCGATGCTGAATTGAACCTCCCAGGAAGTGCATCCCGAACGAGGGGAGCCGGAGAAAAAGGGTTGACGGATCGTGGCCAGAGGCATGTGCGCGCACTAGAAGGGGGTCAGGGAACGTCTTGAACGCAGAAGGGGCTATGCAATCCGGGAGATTTCGCCGCCCCGGCCCCGATATCCCCTCCCCTCCTGGTTCCCCCCTCCCCCCCGGCTTGGACGCCTCCGGCCTGCTGACGACTTGCCCCAGCCGCGCCGTGTCCCGGGCGGGCAAGAACCCGGCCACCTGGGCAGCCAAGGCGGCAGGCAGCGGGGCCATCAGTGCGCTCGACCGTCCCGAGGCGGCCCGCCAAGGCGAGGCCGCGGGCGCGTCCCCGCCGCAGCTGCGCCACGCGGCCTTCGACGGCCGCCGGGCCGCGTGCGCCGCCGCGGGATGGCCATCGGCGGCAGTCTGCGCACGCCTCCTGCTCGGGGTCCGAAGCGTGCGCCTCCCGACGCCTTTGCAGAAAAACCTCTCTGGCGGAGGCACGCACAGGTGTGTATGTATGTGTGTGTGCGTGTGCTAGCGATGACCGGTGCCAGCTCTGTCGCACCGCCCTCCTCCTCCTCCTCCTCCTCCTCCTCCTCCTTCACTCCTTCGTGCCCTTTCGCCTCGGCTAGCCTTCGCTGACCGTGTGGCTCTCTACGGCTTTGCGTTCCTGGTGACTGTATCACGCGGGCCTCTGACGCTCTGGTCGGGCGGTGGCCATTGTCTCCGCCTTCGGCCTTTCGGCCGCCGCCTCGGCTGCGGCCTGCGGTAGCGTCTGCGGGTCCCCCGCCGCTTCTGCGCGCGTGCGCCTGACCGATCTTTTTCCCGCCTTGCTGTCTGTCGCCTTCCTGTGGCCGCGTCGCTGTACTGCTTGTCCCTGCCCTCGTCTCACCCGCCACCCACGCCTGGGTGGCCCTTGGCGCGGGCCATCCAGTGGAACCCCGCTTCTAAAGGCCCGGCCGCGCGCGCCCCTCCCGCGTTGCTCGCTCGCCTTTCTCCGCCTCGTCGCTGCGCACGAAGCCGCGACCTCCAAAAGTGTGTGTGTGTGTGTGTGTGTGTGTTTTGTGTTGTGAATTGTGTGCGTGTGTATGTGTGTGTACGTGTGTGTGCGTGTGCGTGTGCGTGTGCGTGTGCGTGTGGGTGTGTGTGTGTGTGTGTGTGTGTGTGTGAGTTTGTGTGGTGGTAGAGAGTGAACGCTGCTTGACGAGCCGCACAGGAAACTGTGCGCCCCAGACTCTGGAGGCCACAGGGGAACACCAGGGGGCACTCCTGCTCCTCCTCCCCTCGCTGGAGTCAGAATCCCCCAGCGCCACTATCCCCAAACAGCCAAACAGGCAGAGCGGAGGGTGCCCGGTGGGTGGAGGAGGAGGGGGAGGAAGAGGAGGAGGAGGAGGAGGAGGAGGAGGATGAGGAGGAGGAGGAGGAGGAGGAGGAGGAAGCGGAGGAGGAGGAGGAGGAGGAAAGGGAGAAGGAGGATCGGTGCCCGCGCGATCGGCCGCGGGCTGTGCGTGCTGCTGCTGTGCACGCGACGTCTGGCTTCTTCTTTCGCCCATGTCCGCCCCTCACCGGTCCTGCCGAACTCCGCGCCGCAGCGGCCACTCGCACCATCGGCCAGCCCGCGCTGCGAGTCCTCGCCCGAGCTAGCCTCGCCGAAGAATGGCGGGGACTGCTCGCTGGGCTCCCGTGGTGCGCCGGTCAACGCCGGAGGAGAGCAGGATGCTGCTGGCGATGTCAGGACACTCGCCCTCAGCGGGTTGGACTCCACGACGCAACGGGCGAAAGCAGCATCGCGCGCAGCCTCTCTCTTCATCGCCTTCTGGAGAAAGCGTAACGGTTCCTCGTGCTTGAACAGGTTCTGCCAGAAAGTTGAATCCACCAGTGAAGCGTCGAGGACGCTGCACGCTTGGGAAACCACGACGGACTCCCTTGACGAAGGGGCCAGCAGCGGGGAGCAAGCCGCCGTCTGCTCGTCGGCGGTGATGCCCAGCTGCAAGAATGAGCGCATGCTGTTCGGAATGCCTGGTGGGATCCTGAAAACGCTGAATATTGTGTTAGCCAGCGTGGACCCCAGACAACATGTTTCTAGCAATCTATGTTGTGCTATCAATGTGGTGCAATAGTTGTGGTGTAATATATGTTGTGCACAATATGTGTTGCAACATATGTTGTTGTGCATTCTCTGTGGTTGAATATATGTCTTGCAATATATGTGGTGCAATCTATGTTCTGAATGATCTGAGACCGCGCCGCAGGCGCGAATTTTTGTTTCGTGCAATCTATGTGGTGCAAGTCACTTTGACCGTCTTCAAGCTGTCCTCTCCACTGCTCGTGCAAACATCCCACCCTCCCACCCGCAAATTGGTCGCAAGACTTCTTAAGACAAGACCATGACGGCAGGTACCACATGGCACTTGGCCACGACACCAACGCCGACGACGACAGCGACAACGACGACGACGGCGCCGCCGACTACGACGACACCGACGACATCTCCAACGACTTCGACGACGACGGCGGCGACGACGACGACGACACCGACGACGACGACGACGCCGACGACGACGACGACGAAGACGACGACGACGTCGCCAACGAAGACGACGACGTGGGAGGAGGGAGGACGACGACGGCGACAACGACGACAACGACGCCAACGACGAGGGAGGAGGGAGGACGGCGACGACGCGAACGACGAAGAAGGAGGAAGGACGGCGACACCGAAGACGACAACGACGAGGGAGGAGGGAAGACGACGACGACAACGACGACGACGACGACGACGGCGACGAAATAGGAGGGACGACGACGAGACGCCGACGACGGACGACGACGACGACGAGGGAGGAGGAGGAAAGACGACCACGGCGACAACGACGACGGAAACGACCACGACGTCAAAGAGGACGACGACGACGAACACGAGGAAAGGCAGAGGACGACGTAGGCGACGACGACGACGACGCGGAAGGAGGGAGGAGGGCGACGACGACGACGATGACGACGACCACGACGCAGGAGCACGCGCGCACGCTTTTGTTGAAAATCCGTGTTGCGAAACCTTGTGTTTTGTTTGTTTTTTGGACACAAGATTTTGAAATCCTTCCGAAACCGATGGGTTTTGAAGGATTTCGGCATACGCGCGCGACGACGCGCGCGTCTGCACTTCGTCCTTTTTTGCAAACGATTCTCGCGACGGCACACGCGCAAGGGCGTTCGATAGATTTCGACATGCGCGCGCGCGAAGCCCGTTTGGTAGCATTTTGTGGAAATCTTGAAGAACCGATGGTTTTCAAACGACTTCGCAAGAGCTCGCGCGCAAGCTTTTCTAGCAATCAGCGTTACGAAACATTATGACTTTGTATGTTTTTTGGTTGCGAAATCCTTCCGGCACCGAAGGTTTTTGGAGGATTCCAGAAGGGGGTCGATACCGGCCCCCCGGGGATAGTGTAAAATCATATGTAGGATGGACATGTGGTCAGAACCATATATGATTTACATACCCAGAAGGGGGACCGATAACGCCGGAGGGGGGGTAGACTCTATTTTCTTTATACGAAGGACAATTAAGTTATGTCCGCAGTTAGTTGTCAACTCCATTGCTCGCGCAATCATCCCACCCTCTCGGCGGCGATTGCGATGAGTGCTTGATGTTGGCTGGTGCATTTCTGCGGCCGCGCTAGCCCGCGCATGCTCGCGCGCGCAGCGGCCAGCTAGTTTGGCGCGACCGACGCGGCCGCGGTGGCGCTGATCGCTGGGCACATTCCAACGGGCACTTCGCTGCAAGTCGGCGACTTGGGCGGGCGCGGTATCATGGCAACGTCGGCAACGGTAGACTTGATGATGATATTAGCAGTGCTGGTGTCGATGGTGACAACGGCGACGGCACGGCCAGTGACGGCGCCGATGCTGATCACGCCGACGACGATGTCGGCGTCCTCGCGTCGGTGATGAAGGTTTTGGAAGGAGTTCGACATGCGCGCGCGGCCGACGCGCGAGAATGGCCCACATGGTGTTATTTGTCACGGACCGTGCCCCCCCCCCAGCACGCGCGCAAAAGCGTTCGAATGGTTTCGGCGTGCGGCGCGAGAGGCCCGTTTGGCAGAATTCAGTGGGAATGTTGAAACAACTATGGTTTTCTAAAGAATTCGCAAGAGTGCGACCGCAGGCTATGTTGAACACTGATGTTGCGAAACCATGTGTGTGTTTAGATTGTTTCGGGACACTCGCTTTTGAAATCCTTAAGACGTCTGTTTGAAGGACTTCGGGATGCGCGCGCGACGATGCGGGCGTGTGCGCTTCGGTTTTTTCCCAACCATCCTATGATGTTGGGTCCTCGTTTTGAAGAGACAGCGCCCCGCGTTCACTCCTCCCGCTGCCCACTCCGCCCTCCTCTCATCATCATCACCACCATCATCATCATCATCATCATCATCATCATCATCATCATCATCATCATCATCGTCATCATCATCATCATCATCGTCGTCATCGTCATCATCGTCATCATCATCATCATCATCATCGCCATCGTTATCGATATCGTCATTATCATCATCGTCCTCGTCATCATCATCGTCGTCATCATCGTCGTCTTCATCATCGGCATCATCGTCATCACCACCACCGTCGCCATCACCATCGCCGTTATCGTCATCATTTTTCGTGGCCCCATAGGGAGCTCCAGCGAAGGCCCCAGCGTCAGCGCCCGCATGCGGTTCCACCCCCATTTCGGCACACCCCTCACACGTTTCGTGGCCCCATAGGGAGCTCCACCGAAGGCCCCAACGGCAGCGCCCGCATGCGATTCCACCCCCATTTCGGCACACCCCTCACACGCTTCGTGGCCCCATAGGGAGCTCCACCGAAGGCCCCAGCGGCAGCGCTCGCATGCGGTTCCACCCCCCTGTCGGCACACCACTCGCACGCTTCGTGGCCCCATAGGGAGCTCCAGCGAAGGCCCCAGCGTCAGCGCCCGCATGCGATTCCACCCCCATGTCGGCACACCCCTCACACGTTTCGTGGCCCCATGGGGAGCTCCACCGAGGGCCCCAACGGCAGCGCCCGCATGCGATTCCACAGAAGGCCACAGTGGCTGCGTTCGCATGCGGTTCCACGCCAACTTCGGCACACATCCCACACGTTTCGTGGCCCCATAGGGAGCTCCACCGAAAGCCCCAACGGCAGCGCTCGCATGCGATTCCACCCCCATGTCGGCACACCCCTCACACTTTTCGTGGCCCCATAGGGAGCTCCACCGAAGGCCCCAACGGCAGCGCCCGCATGCGGTTCCACCCCCATTTCGGCACACCCCTCACACGTTTCGTGGCCCCATACGGAGCTTCACCGAAGGCCCCAGCAGCAGCGCTCGCATGCAGTTCCACCCCCATTTCGGCACACCTCTCACACGTTTCGTGGCCCCATAGGGGGCGCCACCGAAGGCCCCAGTGGCAGCGCTCGCATGCGGTTCCACCCCCCCCCATGCCGGCACACCCCTCACACGTTTCGTGGCCCCATAGGGAGCTCCACCGAAGGCCCCGGTGGCTGGCTGCTTTCGCATGCGGTTCCGCCCCCATCTCGGCACACCCCTCACACGTTTCGGTGCCCCATAGGGAGCTCCACCGAAGGCCACAGTGGCTGCGTTCGCATGCGGTTCCACGCCAACTTCGGCACACATCCCACACGTTTCGTGGCCCCATAGGGAGCTCCACCGAAGGCCCCAGCAGCAGCGCTCGCATGCAGTTCCACCCCCATGTCGGCACACCCCTCACACGTTTCGTGGCCCCATGGGGAGCTCCACCGAGGGCCCCAACGGCAGCGCCCGCATGCGATTCCACCCCCATCTCGGCACACCTCTCACACGCTTCGTGGCCCCATAGGGAGCTCCACCGAAGGCCCCAGTGGCTGCGTTCGCATGCGGTTCCGCCCCCATGTCGGCACACCCCTCACACGTTTCGTGGCCCCATAGGGAGCTCCACCGAAGGCCCCAGTGGCTGCGTTCGCACGCGGTTCCACCCAACACTTTGGCGCACCCCTCGCACGTTTCGTGGCTGGAGGCAGCACCACCGAAGGCCGCAGCGGCAGGGTCCGCATGGCGGTGTCGCCCCATTTCTGACCACCCCTCGCACGCTTCGTGGCCCTATAGGGAGCTCCACCGACGGCCCCAGTGGCAGGGTTCACATGGCAGCGCCGTGCCGATTTCGGGACGCCCCTCGCGCAGATCGCACCCCAGAGGGAGCGTCACATATGGCTTCTGTGGACGGAGGCTCCCGGAGATCTCCAGGCAGTTCGGATCAGGATGAGGGAGGTTAAGTAGGATGATGATGATGATGATGATGAGGAGGAGGAGGAGGAGGATGATGATGATGACGATGATGATGACGATGATGATGATGATGATGATGATGATGATGATGATGATGTTGATGATGATGAGGAGGAGGAGGAGGATGCTGATGATGATGATGATGATGATGATGATGATGATGATGATGATGATGATGATGATGATGATGATGATGATGACAAGGAGGGCAAGCAAATACGACGATGAGGGGGAGGATGAGGCTCAGGGGGACGAAGAGGCCGCGCCTCCGCACCAGGGTGAGGATACAAGCGGGAGGGCGTGCGCGTGGTTCTCTTTCTCTCCCTCCAGCTCCTCTCCAGTGCTGCGTTTCCTCCTCCTTTCTCTTTCTCTCCCTCCAGCTCCTCTCCCTCCAGCTCCAGTTCTCTTTCTCTCCCTCCAGCTCCTCTCTTTCTCTCCCTCCAGCTCTTTCCTCTCTTTCTCTCCCTCCAGCTCCTCCCCCGTCCTCGACACACCCCTCATACGGTTCGTGGCCCCATAGGGAGCGCCACCGAAGAAGATATTCACAATAGCGGCACTCACAACTGCATACGGTTGGGTCCTTCGCCCGGATAACTTTTATGCAAAGGGCTGCTGGCAACTGATGATTTTCGATAAACGACGGCTTCGCGCGCGTCGTATTTTTTTTTTTTGCAGAGGATGACGGGAGGTGTCGATACAGTCCTGGTTGGGATGGCATGGGTTCAAATTTAGAATGGACGGTGGGGCAGAATCATATCAAACTTGCAATGCGAAAATGGGTGCGGAGAATCCTGGGGGGGGGGTAGACTCTATTTCCTTTAAAAAAGAAGCATCCATCGGCGGCGCGAGGAGGCGACGAGGCGGCGACGGGGCGGCGACGAGGCGGCGATGGGGCGGCGACGGCGACAACATAGCCGCAAGACCAGCCACACGGCCCGAACGACGGGCGACTGCGACAACATAGCCGCCAGACCGGCCACACGGCCCAGTCAGTTCCTTGCACCGGAAGTAAGAGCCCCTACGTGCCAGCACTGGTGGGAAAATGACAGAACACCTCCAGGCCCCCGAATCACGTCTTCGCCAAAGGTCTGACCCGACCTTCAACCCCATGGGCGTCCTATTTGTTGACTCTTCTCTGGGCGGGACATCTGGAACCAATTACTGTTCAATGACTGAGGTCCAGTGGACCTTCAACACCGATGGTTCTCACAATGGGCCGATGGCACGGTAGACGCAGCCTGAAAAGGCTCGCGATTCCACGGCAAGCTACGCAAGCTCCCAAGATGATCGTTAGTACCCTTCCTTCGATCGAAAACATCTCTAAGAAGCCCAACTTATGAAATGGACTGCTAATCCTCCTCCTCCTCCTTATTCTCCCCCTCCTCCTCCTTCGCCTCCTCCCCCTTCCGTCTAGTTTAGACCTGTTGGTTCATATCGGATTTCTCATCATCATCATCATCGTCATCATCGTCATCATCATCATCATCATCATCATCATCATCATCATCATCATCATCATCATCATCATCGTCATCGTCATCGTCATCGTCATCATCATCGTCGTCATCATCATCATCAAGATGTGCATCATAGCTTATACGTGCACGCCTTGTCTTGTCTTGTGATAAGTTCACTTTTGCCTGGGTCAGCTTGGAGTGCGCGTGATGTGGCGCACCGTGGCGTAAACTTCTGCTCCCAGTGCTTGTGCAAGCTTGGACTTAGTACACATTGGTTTAGTCGAGCCTGGTGTAGCGCGGCTTTGGCTTGACTTGTCTCGTGGCATTCATTGCCTTCTTCTTCTTCCCGTTTTTTTTCTTCGGAACATCCCCAATACGATGCATCCCTATATAACTCCATGCGCCTCCACGGAAACCTGTGCGTATTCATTCGGAGCCATGTGGGAGCTGAGCTGACCTGCGAGTCCCTGAGGTTCCCAATGAAGTCACTCGAAAAAATGTGGGCAGGATGACGCAGCCCTGTTGGTTCATTCTGTGTGGCAAGATAAGCGGCTACGCGCGGCTGGTGTAACAGGGCCAAGCGAAGAAAGCCGGCGACAATCAGGACAGGGGCCCAAGGGGGGACGCGACCGAAAGAACTATATCGGCGGCAACCCGGACACGGGACCGAGAGACTTGGGGACACGGCCGGATGAAGAGCATCGGCTGCAATCAAGGCACGGGACTGCGCCGAGGAGAGCTGGGGCCATTGTCGAACGAAGCAGATCGGCAACAACCAAGACGGGAGACCGAAGCGAGGACAGCCGGAAACATGGCCAAAGGACGGGACACGGCGGCAACCAAGATACGAGAACGAGCCAATGATAACTGAGGATACGGCGGAAAGACGGAAAGCGGCGGCAACGGAATGCAACTATTTAGATACTAAGTAAGAGTCCCTTCAGAGCAAGCGTGCTTCTGGAATATGCCGTCTGATTCCCCTAAGAAATGCAGTCGCGTAGAAGCGCGGGGATGCACGAACCATTGCCGCGGTAGAAGCGAAACGATTCACCGCTGATGGGCTCCACATCCCAGCCACCTTTACGTCCTACTAAGTTCAATCGAGTGTCCCCTGCTGGTAGTTCTGGCTGGCCCCGACAGGGTCCCAGCCCAGGGCAGTCTCAACACCCCCAACCCCAGGGCACACCCTGGGGAGCCGCCAAAATCGGAGCTGGTTCCCTGGGTATTGAGACCGCCTCCACCTGAGAGCCTGTGAGGCCAGTCTGAACTATCTTTGGAGGCGTTCTGTGCGCATCACCAAACCTTGTCATGTTTAGCCAGGCCCCGACCGCCAGCTGATGTAATTGATCGAGTGCTAGCGCACCGCCACGCAGCCTGGACGGCCTCCCACAGAGCGAATTCTTGCCAGCAGCGCCGTTCGACAACACGCGCTTGAATACAACGATTTGAGCCAAACTGCGCCTGTTCCATCTGCATTGCTCAAATGCGTTCTAGAGACATGCGAATCTCGCTCGCTTCCTCCTTGACACATTCGGCCCCTCACCAGCTCCAGGGCGATTCCTGGGAGCTCTCCAGGAACTCCAGAGTCGAAAACTCCGAGACTCATGTGCCTGCGGCCCCTGGTCACTGAACTAGCTCGCAAACTCTCCGGGTTACGGCCGAGAACTTCCCCGGACAGCGCGCGCGAGGAGGAGGAGGAGGAGGAGGAGGAGGAGGAGGAGGATGCCGCCAGACTCGTCCCCCTGGCAGCCCCTCTCGACACCGCGGACGCCGGGTAACGAGACACCGCTCGTCGCGGAGCGAGCTCCCTGCCAAATGCGACATGGCCGATCAGGCGTTGCTCCCACCCCGAGCGCTTCGGGAGGGCACCGCCAGAGCCGCCTCCTCAAGTCCCCCTCTCCCGCAGACGTGGCTGTCGCGCAGGGAGGCGCCCTTCGATCACGCAGCGAGACCCTCTCCGAGGCGACGCCAGTGCACCGACTCGCTGGCTGCCCCGTCACTCAGCCCAGCCCCCGCGCGCGCATGCCCAATCGCGCAGCGCGGTGCCGAAGGCCCCTTGCACTGGCCGCAGCGTCCCGGCTCGCTCCGCGACCTCGCGCGCGAGGAGTCACTGCCGCTCTCGCGCAGCCGCAGGGGGCCTCGCGCGAGGGCGACGAGTGCTCGGAAGACGCGCTCCCCTTCGGCGGAGAGGCGAGCCAGGCCCTGCAATCCTTTCCGCTCCGAGGACTCCTGGCTGCGGCCCTGGGGAGGTCCCGCCCCTTCCCCGGGGGCAGCTTTGCGCCCCGGGTCCGTTCTTGCTGGACCCTGGGGCCCAAGAACGGGTCCGGGAGGCCGAAATCAAGGAAATTCGCCCGCGTTGACCTCGAAGATCTCGGGGACCTACTGACCAGGGTCAACCGATACCCAGGTCAGTCGGGCCTTGCAGGATCCTGGGAAATCCTGCAGTTACCACCACCTCCTCCTCCTCCTCCTCCTCCTCCTCCTCCTCCTCATCCTCTCTTACCTCCTGCTGATTACCATCTTCCTCCTCCTCCTCCTCCTCCTCCTCCTCCTCCTCCTCCTCCTCCTCCTCCTCCCCCCCAGGAAGATCCCCAGACCCCCTGAAAAACATCCTGCAGCCCCCCCCCCCAAAAGGAAGCCTCATCCTCCTGGTTCCTCCTGCCGCTCTGTCTCCTCCTTCGTCCTTCCTTTTCCTCCCGCTCCTGTTCCTTCATCTCGCGGGCGCCAAACTTGACTTAGCGCGGGGAGATTTCGTATCTCAATGTGCAAGCCGTAAGCCTACCTGTAATTTTGGCTTGCGATAGTGTTGCTGACGACGGCAACGTCGAAGACAACGGTGATGACGATACAGGAGAGGATGGGAACACTGACGCCTATGACGATGACGATGCCGATGCTGACGATGGTGGTGAATACGACGATGACGATGCCAATGACAACGCCGATGCCGATGATGCCGACGATGCCGATGCCGAGGATGAAGATGGCGATGGCGGCGACAGCCGCAGTGGCGACGTCCATGATCAGGGGGGCGTAAGACCCGGGTACAGGGGACTCGGAAATTCCCGACGAGGTCGTCAAAAAATGACGAGGCCGAGCCTGCATTTTGACGAGGCCTCCCGCTGCAGACATCCCACGAAACTCCTACTCGTCAAAATCCGAGTCGCGGTCGTCAAACAACGATGGCGAACCCGAGTCCTGGCAAACCCGGGTCTTACGCTCCCCCGACATGAGGATGACCCTGGCGTCAATGATTTCGATGGAAGTCGCGAGGACGACGAGAGCGACCTCTTCCCGTGCGCGCGCTGGCCCGCCCGCGCTTCGGCTAGCAGGCCCCCGGGGGTGTGCTGCCGGCCGCCTGCTTCCCAGGGGGGCCGCGAGCAGGAGAGAACGGGAGCAGGCGAGCGCGTTCCACTGCTCGCAGAGCAGCTGCTCGCAAGCCTTCTCTCCTCCTCCGTCTCCTCCTCCTCCTCCTCCGTCTCTTCCTCCTCCTCCTCCTCCTCCTCCTCCTCCTCCTCTCATCCTCATCTCCCTTCTCTCCTCCTCCGTCTCCTCCTCCGTCTCCTTCTCCTCCTTCTTCTCCTCCTCCTCCTCTACCTTCTGCCTGGATCCGCCGAGGGGGATGCGCGATCCATTCCATTGAGGCAGACGCTCGTGTTCAGGACCTCTTGCGAGTGGGCACTCTGCGAGCAGTGGAACGCGCTCGGTGAGGGAGGGGGACCCATACCTGTGACGACTCGCAGTGTCTGGCCACAAGTGACCGTTTCCAGTTCCTGGGGCCCCTCAGGAAGTTAGCTTAAGATCCGAAGCCAGTCCCTGGTAAGAAGGTCGAGAGGGCACAGGAGCTTCGGCTCCAGAGCAAGCGAGTCGTGGGAGGCCTGGGTACGACAGCTTCGAGGAGGAGCACCAGCACGTCTCCTTCGCAGGCTCAGGCCAGCGAGAAGCAGCAGCAGAGGCAGCAGGAGCAGCAGGGGCCCTGCAGGAGCAGAAGTGAAAGGACGGCGGGGTGGCGCGCTTTGCCGGTGCGCCTGTGGCACCCTCAGGAAATCACCCCGCTCGCCTCGGATGCGGCGCTTCGACCGCGACAAGCCCTTTAGGCCTGCCTGCTCTGGGCCCGCTTGCTTCATACTTGCCTGATTGCTGCCGTTGCTGCCCCGCTCCTTCCCTCTTCTCTTCCTACTCCTCCTCCCCCTCCTGCTCCTCCTGCTCCTCCTGCTCCTCCTCCTCCTCCTCCTCCTCCTCCTCCTCCTGACTCCTGACTCCTGACTCCTGACTCCTGACTCCTGACTCCTGAGTCCTCACTCCTGACTCCTGACTTCTGACTCCTGACTCCTGACTCCTCCTCCTCCTCCTCCTCCTCCTCCTCCTCCTCCTCCACCTCCTCATCTCTCTTTCCCTCGTCCCCTCCCTTCCCTCCTCCGCACAGCGCCCGTCGGAGCTCGGCGGCGCATGGCCTGAGGAGGCCGAGCGCATGCAGGGCTGCCAAAGAGCACGGGCAGCCCTTTAAGCTTGCCCGGGCTGGGAGGCCCTCGGCCCACTTTTGGCGGCGAGCAGGCGGAGGAGGAGGAGGAGGAGGAGGAGGAGGAGGAGGAAGAGGAAGAGGAAGAGGAAGAGGAGCAGGGGGCCGGCCTTCCCGGAGACCAGCCCCTCGAGGGGGGGCGGCATCCTCGAAGGCCGCGGTGCCCGCCTCCTCTTGGCAGGGGGGTGGGGGGCCAGGGTTCGGAGGCCGATCCTGGTGACCATGGACCCCTGTTGCCGGGGGGGCGCAGGTGGGGCATGGGTACAGGTGCGGTCAAAGGGGAATGCCTCCCGATGATCCCTGGAGGGAGGACACGTGAGCATCCAACTGGGTTCGCTCCATCCCCCCCCGGCCAGAGGTCCCATGAATTGACTCCCGACCATCCTGTGGTGTTGGGTCCTCGTTTTGAAGAGCAAGTGCCCTGCGTCACTTCTCCCGCTGCCCCCTCCTCTCTCCTCCCACCCAGTGCAACACCGTTTCGTGGCCTCACAGGGAACTCCACCGAAGGTCCCAGTGGCGCAGCCCGCATGCGTCCCCCACACCCACCCACTACAGCGCTTCGTGGCCCCATATGGGCTCCACCGAAGGTTCTAGTGGCGCAGCTCGTATGCGTCTCCCCCGCCCAATACAGCTTTTTGTGGCCCCTTAGAAAGCTCCACCGAAGGTCCCAGTGGCGCAGCCCGCATGCGTCTCCCACACCCAGCAAATCGGCTCGTGGACCCACAGGAGCTCCACCAAAGGCCCCAGGGGCGCAGCCCGCATGCGTCTCCCACACCCAGTACAGCGTTTCGTGGCGCCACAGGGAGCTCCACAGACGGTCCCAGTGGCGCAGCCCGCATGCGTCTCCCACACCCAGTGCAGCGTTTCGTGGCCCCACATGGAGCTCCATTGAAGGTTCCACTGACGCAGCCCGCATGCGTCTCCCACACCCAGTACAGCGTATCGTGGCCCCACAGGGAGCTTCACCGGCGGTCCCAGTGGCGCAGCCCGCATGCGTCTCCCTCAACACAGCGGCTCGTGGCCCCATCGGGAGCTCCACCGAAGATCCCGGTGGCGCAGACCGCATGCGTCTCCCCCACGCAGCACAAGGTTTCGTGGCCCCACAGGGAGCTCCACCGAAGGTTCTGGTGGCGCGGCCCGCAGACGTACGTCTCCCACACTCAGCGCAGCGTGTCGTGGCCCCACAAGGAGCTCCACCGAAGGTTCCAGTGGCGCTCCACTAATGGTCCCAGGGGCGCTGCCCGCATGCGTCTCCCTCACCGAGTTCATCGCCTCGTGGCCCCATAAGGGGGCTCCGCCGAAGGTTCCAGTGGCGCAGCCTGCATGCGTCTCCCCCCACCCAGTACAACGATTTGTGGTCCCTAGGGAGCTTTACCGAGGGTCCCAGTGGCGCAGTCCGAATACGTCTCCCCCGCCCGGTACAGCGTTTCGCGGAACTATAAGGGGGCTCCACCGAGGACGACATCTACAAAGGCGGTATTCACAACTGCATCTGGTTTGGCCCTTTGCCAGGCTAATTTTTTTGTCAATGCGCGGCGCCCAAAGTCTCGACCCACTCCTGGGGACAGGTTTTTTCATCCGGGGTCGTTTTCAGACGGTCTTGAGGCCCAGCGACGGCCTCTGGAGGCCGAAGACGGTGAACAAAACCTCCGTTACACTTGTTCCCATGCGTTTCATCTCTGAATCACCCCACCTTGCGACACCGCCCTCCCCACTCTACGAGCCTTCGGTCGGGCATGTCCTCCTACAGGCGGATCTTGAGCGAAAAATTAGAAATAGTCCAAACATGCTCAAACATAGCAAAAAAATTGTAAAACAAATCGTCCCCAAACTCTCTTTTGACTATTTTTGAACATTCCCCCCTGTAGAGGGACAACATCCTCCCCACTCTGCGAGCCCTTTGCGTTGGCTCGTGGCTGCTCTAAGCTTCGGTCGGGCGTGTCCACCTACAGGCGGATCTTGGGGGAAAAATCAAAAATACCCCCCAAAATACCTTCAAATAGTCAAAAAGGTACTAAAAAATACCCCCCAGACTATTTTAATACTATTATTGCATATCCCTCCTGTAGAGGGACAGGCCCGACTCACCTCTAAGTCTCACCGGGCAAGGGGGCCCTCGGCCCGCTCTGCGCCGCCCCCGGCTGCGCCCGCGCTGCCCGCGCCGGCGGCGTCTGCGCCGGCGGGCAGCAGGGGGCCCTGCTGCGCTGCCGCCGGAAGGCCCCTCGGCGCCCCCTGCGGCGCCCCGGCGGGCCTGGTTTTGTAGTCAAGTTTTTCCTTCCGTCGTGTGTCAATAACGCACACACGCACACGCACGCACACACACAAACACACACACACACAAACACACACACACACACGCACACACACACAAACACACGCACACACACACACGCACGCCCACGCCACGCCCACGCCCACGCCCACGCCCACGCCCACGCACACGCCCACGCCCACGCCCACGCCCACGCCCACGCCCACGCACAAGCACATGAAAACGCACACGCCCACGCCCACGCCCACACGCCCACACGCCCACACGCCCACACGCCCACACGCCCACACGCCCACGCACAGACACACACGCACACACACACACACTCACACACACACGCCCACACACAAACAAACACACACACACATGCACACGCACACGCACACGCACACGCACAGACACACACACAACACACACAGATGCACACACACAGGTACACACACAAACGCGCACACGCACACGCACACACACACACACACGCACACACGCACACACACAAACAAACACACAAACACACACAAACACACATACACAAACACACACACACACAACCACACACAACCACACACAAACACACAAACACACACAAAAACACACAAACGCACACAAACACACACAAAGACACACACACAAGCACACACACAACACACAACACACACACAACACACACAACACACAACACACACAACACACACACAACACACACACAACACACGCACAACACACACACACCACACGCAACACACACAACACACAACACACACAACACAAACACAACACACACACACCCACACACACCCACGCACAGCCACACACACCCATAGACACCCACACACCCACACGCACGCACGCACGCACGCACGCACACACGCCCACGCCCACGCCCACGCCCACGCCCACGCCCACGCCCACGCCCACGCCCACGCCCACGCCCACGCCCACGCCCACGCCCACGTCCACGCCCACGCCCCACGCCCCACGCCCCACGCGCACGCGCGCGCGCACGCGCACGCGCACACACACAGACACACACAGACACACACAGACACACACAGACACACACAGACACACACACACACAGACACCACACACACCACACACACCACACACACCACACACACCACACACACCAAACACACCACACACACAACACACAACACACACACAACACACACACACACAGACAACACAGACAACACACCAACACACACACCACACACACAGCACACACAACACACAACACAAACACACCACACAAACCACACACACCACGCACACCACACCACACACACCCACACACACCACACACACACGCACACCACACAAACACTACACACACCACACACAACACACACACACACACACACCACACACACACACACCACACCACACACACCACACACACACACACACACACACACAACACACAGCACACAACACACAACACACAACGCACACAACACACAACACACAACCCACACACCACACAACACACAACACACAACACACAGCACACGCACACACCCACACACACACCCACACACCCACACACACACACACCACGCACAGCACACACAGCACACAACACACAACACACACAACACACACAACACACAACACACAACCCACACACCACACAACACACAACACACAAAACACAGCACACGCACACACCCACACACACACACCCACACACACCCACACACACACACCACACACCACACACAGCACACAACACACAACACACAACACACACAACGCACAACGCACAACCCACACACCGCACAACACACAACACACAACACACACAACACACAACACACAACCCCCACACAAACACAACACACAACACACAACACACACACACACGCACACACCCGCATACACCAACGCACGCACGCACGCACGCACGCACGCACGCACGCACGCACACACGCACACACGCACACACGCACTTTTTTTAACCAGCACGAAGGAGCCCTGTGGCAAGAGAAAGGGAAACGACGACGAAGAGACGACACGACAGAAAGCGGCGCGAGGGGCGAGAGGGGGGGAGAGAGGGAGGGGCGAGGAGGGCCGCAGGAGCCGCGCCCGGCTCCGCTCAGCAGCCCAGCGGCCGCCCGGCCGCGCCAGGCCGCCGGCGGCGCGCCGCGCCAGACAGCCCTAGGCCGCCGCGGCTGGCCCAGCGGCCAGCGGGGCCGCCGCGGCCCCAGCGGCGGCAGCCTGCAGCATGCGCCCGCGCGCAACGGCGGCCGCCGGCTCGTGCCTGGCGAGCGCCCCAGCCGCCTCCGCGAGCCGAGCCGTGGCCTCGCGGAAGCTGAGGCCCCGCAGGGAGACCTGCAGCAATGACGCTACTTCCCGCGCCATCGCCCAGCCTCCCTCGCGCACGCGGGCGCGCGCCGCGTCCCGCAGCTCCGCGTAGGCGAGCTCGAGGGCGGCCTCGTCGCAGCTCTCCGCGGAGTCCGTGCCAGCGCCAGCACCGGCCGCCCTCCCCCGCGGCGGGGAGGCGTTCGCGGGCGGCGTGGCGGCGCGCGCCGCCGCTGCGCCGCCGGCGCCGGCCGCCGCCTCCTCGCCCAGGCGCCCGGCGCCGCCTGCGCCAGCCGCAGCCCAGCGGGTGGCCTCCCGGGCCAAGCGCTGCCGGCCGCGGCCCGTGGCTGCGGCGGCTGGCGTCCAGGCCGCCTCGGCGCGGCTCTCTCCGGGCGGGCAGGAAGCCCTCCGTGCCGCCCTCGCCAGCAGCGGGGCCGAGGTCCGCCCTGGCAGCGCCGGGGGCGCTCGCCGCGCCCGCGCCCTCGGGGGCGGCAGCCGCGTCCGCGGCGCCGCGGCTGCGGGCCGCCCTCGCCCTGGGGGCGCTCGCCGCGCCCTCGGGAGCGGTGTCCGCGCTCGCGGCGCCGCGGGCCGCTTCCGTCGCGGAAGCGCTCGCCGCGGCGCCGGCCGCGGGGCCGTCCCAGCTGCCGTCCGCTCCCGAGTCGGCGGCTCCGCGGGCCGCCCCTGGGGCGCTCGCCGCGAAGCTCGCCGCAGCCGCCGCCGCAGCGGGGCGGGCCGCTCCCGCAGGGGGGGCGCTCGCCGCTCGTCCGCTCGCGGCGCGGGGGGCAGCCGCTGCTTGTCGCGCAGCTGGCGCGCGCGCCGCCTCGCCGCTCAGCTCGCCGCGGGCCGCCTCCCCGCCGGGGGAAGCGCTCGCCGCGGCGCCGCGTGAGCTAGCCGCGCCCAGGGCGGCTGCAGCCGAGCCTGTTGCTGGTGAGGCAGCGGCCGGCTGCCCCGCGCTGGGTCCAGCAGGCTCCGCGGCGTCGCCGTGGCCCGCTTCGTCGGCGTCCGCCCAGGCTCGCGCCGAGCCGAGCTTGGTGACGGCCCAGACGTCCAGGGCGTCGTACGCCGCCTGGAGGTCGGCGCCATCGCTTCCAGCGCCGTCCGAGCTCGGCGGCTCGCTGGCCTGGTCTGGGGGGGCGTTGTGGCGCCAGCCCGCCGCCCTCAGGCGTGGCCGGCCTTGCCTTGCCCGCGCCGGACCAGGTAGGTCCCGCCGCCCAGGTGCTCCACTGTGGAGCTCCCCCGCAAGCCGGAGGATCTCGCAGAGCTCCTCCGCGCCGGCCGGGGGCGCCGCGCCCTGGGGTGGTGCGCCCGCCGCCCCCTGAGCCCTCGGAGCTGGTGCCGCTGGCTCCGCTGCCGCTGCCGGCGGCGCTGCGGCTGCCACCCGCGCCTGCGCGGGAGCCCCTGGCGCGGCCCCCTCGGCGGCCCGAGCACCCCCCCCCTCCGTGGCGTCGGAATCGGTGTAATAGCTCGCTGGGCTTGGCTCCCGGCCGCAGCCGCCGACCGGTGCCGTCGGTGCCGCCGCCTCGCGCGCCGGGGGGGTGCGCGAGCGCATGCGCGCGGCCGGCGCCCGCCGCGTCGTCGCCGGCCCGGGGGGGTCTGCCGCGCTGCGTTCCCGCGCTGGCGGGGCGGGCGGCGGCCCCGCCGGGGGCAGCAGCGGCTGCTGTGGCGCCCGCGCGGGCCGGGCCTTCGGCGCAGGCGCCCGTGGCGCCTCGGGCCGGCTCCACTCGCGGCCGGAGTCGCGCCTCGCGCCGCCCGTCGCCCTTGGGCTCCTGCTGCGCCGCCTCTCCGACCGGCCCGCGGGGCGGTGTCCACCCGCAGCTGCGCTTCGCGCAGGGCTCGTCGCCCGGGGAGCCGGGTCCAGGCGCGCCGGCGGCGCCGCCTCACCGCGGCGTGCGCGGGGCCTCCTCGAGGGGGAGCGCGGCACCCGCGAAGGGCTCCGGGCAGCAGCCTCCTGCTGCTGCTCCCGTCGGCGCTGCTCCGCCTGCCTCCGCCGCAGCCAGCTGGGGGGCTTGCCCTGCTTCTTCTTCTTCTTCTTCCCTTGGCGGCGGCCCTCCTCCCAGGGCGCCGACTTGCCACCATCCCGGTGCCGGGACTGGCGGCCCGGCCGCGGCGAGCTGGACCGGGCAGAGGCACCACGCCCATGCCCAGCCTGGCGGCAAGGGCGGCCGCTCACCGCAAAGGAAGCCATCCATGCACTGGGGCCCGCGCCGCGCGGG